TTTGCTCAAGTAATATTCTAAACGGTGACTTCAACTTCTACCAAAGTCATTTTCTGGTAAGATATCTGTACTTTTACTTGAGTATGGCTTTCAGGTACTTTATACACCACTGATTATTCTCTAAAACACAGTTGTAGTCTAAGAATGCATTTGCAAGAACTGTGCACCCATATGTTCCAAAATACAAATTAACGTTTAAAAATATTTCCAAGCTTATTTCAGTGCACCTTCATATGCATTTAGACTTGTATGCATGTTTGCAGTTTTCTGATAGTTAAATTAATTAATTTTGTTGACCTAGGACTCTCAGATGGTTAGCGTTGGCCACCTCGAGACTGCTGCCATCTGCATAATTACTGAGCAGGCATGGCCAAACAGGAGGAGAAGAGAGCAGTGTATTTACATAAATCTGCATATGTCACCTGCACAGCTGACTGCCTCTGAAACCAGCGATGAGTCACCAGCCACACACCTGCAAACACTAACACACACACACTGCAAATGCATTCAGCATACAGACAGTAAGACTGCACTCATTAGAAGCTCTTCACTGTTGTATGATGCATTTAAAACCACACTTGTATCAGTACATGAACAGTTATGTTTAATTTTACGGCTATAATGAAGTGTACTGCCATACTGAATTTATCTTGTTATTTTAACCATGTTCCCCACAAACTGATGCAATTTTGTGGTGTAAATACGTCATATACTTCTGTCTCATAATCCTATAACACTAGAATCTGCTGATTCAATATAATTTCTTACTGGACTGTGAATATGATTAAGCATTCATATGTAAATATTCACATAAATGTACTTATATTTGAAAAGGCACTAATATGCATAATTTCAGCTTTTAAAAATGTAAAAATGCACAAATCTTTATTAAAAATGTAATATATTTATAAATATATAATTTATAAAATATTATTGGTAATACTTTATTTTACACTGTCCTTGTAACACGTTACATGTACATTCTATAGTAATAACAGTAAAGTAATATATATATATATATATATATATATAGAAGAAGATACAGAACAGGCTATAGAACTGAAAGGGAAATCAGACATTCATCTCAGCCTTGTCTGGTTATAATCTAATCTTTTCAGCATTTCCTCACACAAAAAGCAGTACAGTGGGTACGGAAAGTATACAGACCCCCTTAAATTTTTCACTCTTTGTTATATTGCAGCCATTTGCTATATAACAGTAGTTATATACACACACACACTTTACATATAAATATCTATAAATATGAATGAGTTCGCCCTGGACAGTTTTTCTTGTGTAGCAGCTGTACTACCTGCAAGAGCATAGCTGTGTACTTCTCTGACTCAATGATCACGCTTTTGCAAACAAGCATGGTAATGCCATTGCTTATGTTTTGGTTTACTAGGAAAGTTATTTGCACATTTGTGTGAACTTGTGCACATAAGTGAGTGTGTCTGGTGTGTTGTGCTGTGCTGTGCTGACAGGAGCATATTCAGGGTAATAGAAGTGCACAGTGGTTACAGGGTGACTCAGTAAAGCGGAACTGAGCTCTGTCTCCATGGGCATGGATCGCTGGGTCCCTAGATGACAGAATGCCTCAGCGCCCTTCCCAATCGAATAGAATAGAATAAAAAGATTGAAACTCTAGGCGAGATTGGCCAGCTTGCTGAATTGGTGATAAAATATATATTTTTCTATTGGAAAAAGTGGTACTTCTCATTCAATTTTTGGCCTGATGACGGTGCTTTCACCCCGTTACTTTGTCTGTCAGCATAATGGTGTTGAGTGGTGTTCTTTGTCAGTGTAATCATGTTCTGTAGCTTAAGTAAATAAAAAATCAAAAGGAACAATCTTTTGTAAGGACTGCCACCACTCTCACTGTTCTAATTACATGGATCAATGGCTCCCCCCAAACACAAAAACTTGGAACACAGCAGTCAAACCGGCTCCAAATCGGTGACTATGTGCAAACTCAACAGTCATGTCCAGTCGCACACACAAACACAAGCATTCACAAAAAACTCATCGTCACGTAAACTGCAGCATCCGCAGTACTGTCTTGGCAGAATACGGTGCCCATTCTTCCTCTTTTGGCTGTGCAACCTGTTGACACGACTGTCAATTTGGGAAGAGGAGACGGAAAAGAATGGCACTTTGGCAAAGATGCTAGAATCCCACTGGGGCATGAAGCGGTGCCAGCTAGACATTACTGCCGATCCCAGAGGAGTTGAAGAAAAGCTTGAAGACATAACTGTGCATCTCCGAGGAGACACGGTCCAGTGAATTGTGAAAATCAAGAGGAACAGTTGTTTTGCTTTTTTGAACGAGGACTGACAATCATCGCAAGACTCCATGAGATCCCACAGAGCCTGATTAGCCAATCAAATCATTCCCACTGTTCTGTTAAAATACAACTCTTTCAGGATTTCTTTCAGGTGACACTTCATGGCTGGAATTTACAGTCTTAACCTTAAATGCGTTTCAAAATTACATTGATAAATGTTAATTATTAGGTCTTAAACATGATAATGTTCTAAAATGCTCTTCATTACTAAAATATAAATAATGGCTATTACTTTCATAGTTCAATATTTAGTGGTGGACTTCTGAAATGACAATAATTAATATATATATATTTATTTATTAATCATAATATACAAACACACAGAATTTGGTAATGACAACCGCATGCCATAACATAATTAACTTCTGAAAATGTCAGGTAGTCACAACCACATGTATTGCACTTAAACGTGCACAACTACTGTAATTGTTAATGCAGTTAAGTAATGTCACCACTGTTTGGACCCTGGCAGCTTGGATGAAATGCCAGAGAAAAAAAAAACAAAAAAACACAGGTATGCCTTTTATTGATTTATACATTTTCATTCCATTTTCCTCCACAATTGCTACCCACTGGGTCCCTGGTCTGTGGTTGCCAGGTCTTTCAAAGGAAAAGATGATAATAATGCCAAATATATGACTACATTCCTAAAATTAGCCCCCAAAACACAACCTAACTGTCGATATTTATAAGCAACATCCCAAAGACGCTGATAATAAGTGAGCATGGCAACACTGAGGAGTGCATTGTTTAAAATCTTTACAAGCATAAACAATAAATAGAAGGATAGATAGATAACGATAGAATGATTGATAGAACGACAGAACGATGGATAGAACGATAGATTGATTGGTAGGATGATCGATAGATAGATTGAATGATAAATCAATAGAACGATAGATCAACCAATAGATAGAATGATCGGTAGAATGGTAAGACAAAACAATCTAATGATAGACAGAACAAAAGATTGATAGAATGATAGGTAGAATAATTAATCAAGTGATAGATAGACAGAATGATTGATAGGATGAATGTTTAGAACACAATCAGTTGATAGATAGAACAAATGATCAATAGAACAATTGGTAGAATGATCAATCAATAGACAGAATGAACGATTAAGCAATGGATGGATGGAAAGACAAGGCGATGATTGATAGATAGAACTATTGATAGATTGAACGATAGATCAATAAATAGATAGAATGATTGGTAGAACGGTCGATAGCTAAAACAATCTAATGATAGATAGAACAAACAATCAACAGAATGACTGGCAGAATGATCGATCGAGCGATAGATAGATAGAACGATTGATAGGACAAATGGTAGAACAATCAGTCTATAGATAGAACAAATGATCGATAGAACAATTGGTTGAATGATCGATCAATAGATAGAACGAACGATCGAGTGATAGATAGAACAAACAAACAATGGATGGATGGATAGACGGACAAGTGGATTAGTTGTTTAAGCATAGTACATCAATTTCAAGAAGTTCAACACATTCAGACTATTTTGTGGACCGGTTATGATTATCAAGCTTGGCTATACTCCTCCACTAATATCTCTCGTGACTTCTTGCCAGGTTTTCACAATCGGGGATCAGTTTGGTACAAGCACCTCACACTTATATTCCATCCTGCAGTGAAGCCACTGTCTGCCTGCTCTCACTGCAGGGCTGACCTCTGCAGCATGTTTAGTCTCCTGTCTGATTACTATTCACATGCAGTACAGGACTTCTGGACATCTCTGAGGTGAACACCACATAGTGGATTGCACTTTTTTTTTTCCATTTATGTTATTCATTTCTCACGTTAGGCTTGAGGTGTGGGTGGGTTACAACTCCATCAGGCAACACATTGTTTATGATTTATCTTAAAAAGTGATTAATATGTTGTTGCCCTCAAAACACTCATGGTGCTGCCTTTTTTATGCAAGGTAGTGTACGAGTATCCTGTGGAGACATGCTTAATGTGTAATTACATGTACATGTACATGCTTAATGTGTAATTAGACTGTAATTTCATTAATCACTCTGATTCTTGGGGATCTCAGGAGAGTTTCGTTGTGTGAATGTGGAGACCTGTGAGGAAACGACTCCTTTATTAGCAGTTCTCACTTTCTGCTTTTCTTTTTCTGCTGTCATCGTTCCTGTCTTGCGAGTGTTGGCCATTCGAAAGTTTTGATAATCTGTCCTAACTGCCTCTGAAAAATATGATGCAGACAGAAAATGTCTGGATGGTGGCGGCGTCCGCCAGAATCTTGACATGAATTTTTATGCAGAAAGTTCTAAACAGCTGCAGCCGTTACAAGCAGCAGCCACTGGAAGAGACTGGAATCACAAAGGCTTTGTAAACATCCTCACAATCCAAAAGAATAATTTATGAGCACCAGATCATTTTGATGTTTTGTTTGGACACTGGAGCCTTTTTTTTAATAAACGGAAAAGTATTGTGCATGATAATGAGAATAATGAACAATCAACATTCACCCGCGGCCCTCGAGAACTGTTCTTTCTCCAGCTGGCGTACACAGCCAGGTGTGTGAAAGAGGGAAAGTGAGAGGCAAGAGAAAGCCAAAAAAAAAAGCAAATTCCACTACCAAACCTGCACCTTCTCATTCACCGATGATGACATCATTGCCGTACCTTGCAGCAGAGGAATGTCTTTGAGGAACTCTCCACTGTACTTCACCTGGTACTCCTTCTCCTGAAATCCCGGAACACATTCAGCCTTCTCTTCCTCTTCCTGCGATCCAGTGCATACAACCTGAAACAGAAAGATTTCCATTTAATTACTGAATACAGTTGACAATTTTTACATTTCGATCATAAATCTGCTTAAGTATACTATTTTTACAAATATTGAAATAATTGCATTTAGATTTGTATTAAAATTGAAACCCCAATTAAGACTGCACCCACAACTAAAAAAGTAATCAAGACCAATTGTTAACACTTCTAAAATACATAAATCATTCAAGTGTACACTCTGTACTATTACTACTTTGATTTCAAATACTTGAAATACAGAGTGTACAGAGTGTACACTGTATTAAATTGATTCTACATTGTATTTAATTCATTTTTCACGCAAAAGTGTGAGTACATTATAATTATTTGAAATTAGTTCAATCCTTTCTCCTAGAACTTACTGATGAGCCCAAAAGTCAAGAACAGTCTTCAAGAAGAAAACATTTTTAAAAAGATAAAAACTTTGAATTCAGTCATACATTTTTTTAGCACTAGAATTATAATTGTCGTTGCCTTCAGAGCCATAATGAAATAACCATCTGCTACATCATGTCATGTTAGCTTTTACCCAACAACCGAAGATAAAGCTAATTACACAGCAGAAGGAATATAGTTATGAAACCTTTTATAGCTCAAACTGTTTTCCTTATATGACATGATCACATTTTTTAAACTCTACTTAGCATGTGCAGAGTAAGTGTCATCATTCTAGACTGATACGATTCCAAAAATGTAACTTTAATGCAAAGCAGAATGTCTTTGCAATGCTTTCCCACATTTGTGTCTGCATGAAGTGAATTCACCTTTGACCCCTATTTAAATTGCCACAGTATTGTACAATCTCTCTCTAGCCACAACACTAATAAAATGTAACTAGAATTTCATATTTTTCATAAACATTCAGTGCACTTTTCTTACTTTTAATTTATTCTCAGAACTGAACTACATAGTCAAGGTTTTCTATGTAAAGGATTTATACAACCTGATTTTGCCTTGTTTATTACATCTTTTGAAAGAGCAAAAAACTCTGTTTTTCCTGTTCTTAGTTAAAAACAACTTTAACTGCACTGCTAAAACAAGTGTACTGACCAAATCTGGTGTAGATCAACAAGTCCATTTTCTGTCGACCCTACAATGACTAAAGGCTGCTTTTACAGCGAGCAAGAGCACAATGATTCTGCTGAGGGCTTTTCTGGTCAATTATACAAAACTTAGGAAAGCAAAGCTTGTCTTCATTAAGAATTAAAGGTAATTATCCAGCTTTTAAAATGCAGAGGAAATTGCTGTTTTGTGGCTTTTAGGTTGATGGTAGACAGATAGGTTTTTATGATGGCTTTTTCCCTTTGTAAGGGCCAGTCAACCATGCAGCACCAACCTTTCTGTCCATATTCCTCTTTTACTTCCAGCAACATTATTACTCTTTCACACCTATTTTTGCTCTCCATCAATCACCCTTTCAGCTCGAGGGAAGCAGGGATTCTTTCTGACAATGACACACCCCACATGCCATCTTTGAATATACAGCCCTGTTCCTCCTCACAGTTTTAAATAGTACATCATAACACTAGACACACAGACGGAATTTCAGAGATCCGCTCAAGAGGTCCTTCCTACATTACCGCGGGAAGTAGGGGCGCTGAGGGTGCTGCAGCACCCCCTGGAGTGTAGCCCACGAAAAAAATGGGGGTGCTGGGGGTGCGGTGTTAAAAATAAATGAATGAACAATATGTAATACAAAATAAATAATATTCATTTTATTAATTAGTATATTCATTAAAATTAATTGAAAAAAGTAGCCTAAGCCTACAATGACAAGAAGCAACGGTTAAATATGAGTTAAGTTGAATCAAATTTACTGTGAAAGTCGTTTCAACTGCCGCATCCCTCTTGTCACGTGACGCCCCCCCCCCGTTTTATTTCTCAGTCCCCCCAGCTCAAAATTCGTTCCCGCGGCTATGCCTTCCTAGGGAATACATTCAACACAGATTCAATACATCAGAAACACAGAGCATAAATTATCAGCTGTGCTGTCTAAAACGTAAATATTTTAGATTAGATAACCCATTCATGAATAATGAAGGTGTTGGCTTCATTTTCTCCCTTTGTGATTTAGTAAAACCCAATGCTTTCTTAACAATCATTCTTTATGAAAGGTTATGCACAATCACACAGCTGCTTTGAAGCTAAAAAAAAAAGCTATTCTTTCTAACTTGAAAGAAAAAATGCATTAGCATACACAGGGCCAGCTCAACCTAAAAGGTTATATAGGATATATATCTGTCCTAGGTGATTAATTGGGTTAAAAAGACAAGTAATATTCAATAAATCATCGATTTAACTGCACTGACCCATCAGATGAGAAAATAATTTGAACTGAATTGAGATGGAAAATTACACTAACTTTGTTATTGAACTGAATTGAATCCACATTGACCTATGACACATTTGTCACTTGAAGTTGTTTTAAAGACACTATTTTCTTCTGTAGAGCTGCTTATAGCTGAATTGAACTCATTTCATAATTGATTAACTTTGCAACATTGACAGTTATTGAACTGAACTGAAACAACATTGAAATAATTTGAGCTGATAATTGACACTATTATCTTCTGTGGAGTTAAAACTGAATCAGTTTTGTAACTGATGAATTTCACAGTATTTTAACAGTTATTTTCCTGTTTACTAACGTGAAGCTGATTTAAAACAATCTGTATTGTATAGAGCGCTATAAAAATAAATGTGACTTGACTTGAACCCCAAAATGTTGGAGGGGCCCAGTGAAAAAAAAAGAAAGAAAAAAGAAGGATCACAACTTCCGATATGAGAACGCTTAACACTGAATCAATGGTGGAAGCAGACAGATTATTATGACAGATATATATATACAGTATATATATATATATATATCAAAAGTGACCATAAAGGCATTTATAATGTTATAAAATATTTCTATTTCTTCTTTTATAAATAAAAAAATATATAAATTCTTATTTTTTTATTTTAGAAATTCTTTTGAACTTTCTATTCATCAAAGTTTCCTGGAAAAAATAAATAAATCACAAATGACAAGAAAAAAAAAATATATATATTTTTTTTTTACATAAGTGGGACCCCAGTCACTTTAATATTCCTTTCCTGTCTTTGTTCACTAACTGTTTCCTATGAATAAAAACAACAACAACAACAACTCAAACAAATAAACTAAACATACTTTTATAAATACTTCAACATAGAAAGTACATATTCAAGGTGTTAGCCATTCAATAAAATGCCTTCAATACTTCAATGTCTGTTCAAACTGCAGCCTTGTTCAGCCATTCTGCGTTTCACTGAGGTCCCTTTAGTTGTTATTGAAGCTAATATCATAGGCAATTATAGAAGATCAGTCAAAAATGTTGAAGTGTTGGTTTGATTTGCTTTGGGGAGTTGGAGAGCATAGGATGGCAATGGCCTTGTAAGGAGCCAGCTGGGAAACAGAATGCATATTAACAGGACAGCTCTCAAACAGCTGCTGCACCTCACTGTTTGTTCAGATGAGCATTCTGGATATGAGATTGTATGCTTCTACACTGTCGCTATCTTCAAATCCCTTGAAAGAAGAATTCATGCCAGGGAGCTTCAGCGTTAGGGAGCTTCAAGCATGTTATTACTACAGTAATTCAGAGTTTCAAGGAAAAACTGCAGCTGAAAAAAAAAAGCCATTTGCGATCGCACACTCAGCAATACGGCACAGAGTTTTCTTTGACATGTCCCCTAGGATACGGCACGGACCAAAAAAAAAAAAGGAGAATCTCAGCACTGTGTATTTTGAGGGGAAAATAAATGCTTATTTTAGCTTATTTTTTAGATTTAATGAGCCAAATCTGACAAAAGTGCTGTGTTTACGGTAATGGAAAAAATACTATCATTCTTGTCCTACAGGTTAATTTGCTGCTAAAATAGCACTGCCCTCAGTGACACTCAAATAGCACTATGCAGTCTCTTGTTAAACTCACAAAGGCATACTCTGCTTTATCTCCGATTTAATGACAAATACATCTGGGGGTTAAGGGCACCATTTCCAAACAAGGTCTCCACTCTTTATGGTTGTTTCTATTCAACCCACTGCTTCTTCAGTCCTTCAGGAGTTCTCTTAATGGCGTTCCTCATAAGAGAACAGAAGCAAGTTTAGTTACTCAGAAACTCAATTACTTTTCTTAGCCGCATGAAGCAAATATTCTTAGAATTGCCTCAGCAGGGCAGGGATAATATTGCATATAAGACAGCATGACAGAAATTTCTCCAATCAGCATGGTGAACATCATTTGGACATCCATCCAGACAAGGCATCCATCCAGGCATCTGTGCATATGTTTACCCAGTCTCGGAACAAAAAGAGAATAAAATGATAAAGAAATAAAGATGGGACGGAAAAGAAAAGGCTGGACATTAATTATGTTGTGTCCTTCAAACTGCCCAAATCTGCAAAGTGTCAGCAAAAAAAAAAAAAAAAATGGACAGAACTTTACCATTTAAAAAGGGTGCTAAGGACTTCTTCACACAGGATTTGGTCTTGCAATCTGTCTGGAAGGTTTTTTTGTTGTTGTTGTTTTTACCAAAGTAAATGGGGAGTTTTCAAACTTTTCAAAGCTCAATAACAGTAGTTTTCAAACTTTTCAAGCCAAGGACCCCCAAATATGATGATCTTTTAAATGGGACACCATTTCTAAAATATAAAGTCACATTTTCATGTGCAAAGACCCATTTATACTGTGTGAGAAACATATTAGGTGATATTATTGTATGAGGACAACACATTGTTTCTAAACATAAATCATTTATGGTTTCATTTTTGAAAATTCAGTAAGAAACAACATTTAAATTAAATTAGTGATTAATAATGATTTATGACTAGAAAGAATAAAAACAGTAATAACATCAAATTCTGTAAGAGTGTAAAAAATATTACACTAAACATTAATAAAGGTAAAAAATAATTATATCAAATAATTATATTTTGAAAAAATGAATAAATAAATATAT